ATCAGACTGGTAGCTATTAAAAGAAATTAAGTTGGCTATAGGGGTATATTGCTTATTTATTATCTTATAAAGTGAGCTAACATAGTCTTGTGGAACATTTATAATCATCATATGAAGACAATCTCTGTCATGATAGCTGTAGATAAATGATGATGTGTTAATAGTAATCTTATTCTAAAACTATGAAAGGCTTCTCAGAAGAGGATACTGTCACCAAGTGGTGGAAGGGGTATAAATCATTGGCTTGCCTCCTGTTAGACTGATTCATCCCTTGTAGAAAACTATTGCTCGGCTCTGTAACCTTGAGCACATACCAAATGGAGTCTGTAATATCTCATAGACTTGTTATGAATCACTATAGATGGCAAAAAACTTGGCATACTAACATAATCCAGGACGGGTGCTAATTAACAAAGTCGTAACTAGGATGTGTACATAGACCTCACATTGTTCATATAATTTGACTGGAATATAAGCATGAAAATCACTCTTCAAGCCTTAGTGGCTCAGCTCTTTATATTGAGGTGAATAAGGAATGTTTAGCTGGTTGTTGGGTTTCCAAGGGTTACCACAAGTAAGAAAATGGATATGTTTATTTTATATAATAATTCTTATAATTATATAAAATTTATTATAATTATAGTATTTATTTTATTTTCATCACTTATAAGCGACATTGGTTTCCTATCTCTCTGCTTCTGGAAAGAAAGATTATTTTTGAAAACCATTTATTCAACAACCACTTATGGGCAAATCACTTCTTCCTCCCATAAAACTTTAGAAAAATGTAAATAATACAAGTGAGTTTGGTGCTCTGTTTCTCATCTGAATCAATGGCAAGTACAAGATTCACTATTCTGGAAACCTCTCCTTTGTAGAGAAAAGACAAAGATTCTTATATGATTTATGTGGTCTGTTAAAAAAAAAATCTTTGGCTCTGGTAATTAATAGATCATATCCCTGGCTGTTCATTTTAATGCTGGTGTGATGAAATTCCTCCTGATATAGTCAAGCAAATACTTATTAATTGTTGGGAAGAAAGAAGTGAGGCTTATGACTAAAGAGATAGAAGGCAATAGCAAAATAAATGCACTAATTATTTCTTCCTTTTCTCTAGGTCGTCTGGTGTCATTGAAAAAGAAAATAGACAAGAAAGACAGAAATAAATCAAATTTTGTTGATAAGCTCTGGGTCTCGTGCTTTGCAGGACAATAGTTGATATCATAGGAAAACAATGATATAGGATCCTTTTAAGCACACCATGGAAAATCTTTTCCCAAAAGCAGCAAAGAATGTCACTGGTAAAATGCCTGCTAGATACTTATCTGCCTGATCTATAAACTTGATGAAGCAAATTCTTAGACTTTTATATACACTTTTCTTATTTGAAGTTATGATTATTTTTCCTGCACACTTCTTTTGTTTCTTCTGTTGTGCTTTTGTTGTTGGTATATATCTGAGGTGTTTATTTTAAGTATTTGTATAAAATGTTAAGAAGACATTTTATTATGTTATGACTTATTTGCAGGTCATAAAAATAAAATAGCTTCACTTTGGAATAAAGTACCCCCAACTTAAAATCTTCACCAAACAGATAATATTAGCTTGGCTTAGTAACGTCTTGTCCAACTCTTTTTCTAGAAAATAGTCATTGCTTTTTTCTTAAAAAAAAAAAGCCTAGGAAAAGAAAGTGGCAATCTTGAATTGTCACTTTTTTCTTTGATGTGATCTTATTAAATTTCTCAACATAAAACTCCTTTTTTCTTTTGGCCTTAGTTTCTCTTAGCATTTTTCCCCACAATTTTATTGTTTTGATGATCTATTAACAAAATAACCCATAGATTTCAGTTCACTGACAGGCACTTACAGTATCAACAAACTATTATGGATATGAAGACAAAAATGAAACACAATTTACATTCTACTGTGGGAAGTTTTAATGGACTGTCCCCACTCTGGTCTGTAATGCTCATTTCCTATCCCACACCTTCTATCTTCCCAATCTCCCTTCCTCTGTATGACAATTAAGTTACTCAGTCAATCGGCTAGCATTAGGACAAAAGGCTGTCCCTATTCTGAAAGAGCTGACATTTCAAATGAAGACAATTACGTATGAACAAGATATATCCGGGATAAATTGGGTATAGTCTCAGAGGCGAAGCACTGAGATTAAGGAAGACTGGGAAAGGCTTCTTCCCCAGAAGGTAAGACTTTAGCCGAGACTTGAAGGAAGCGAGGGAAGAACAAGAGGCCGAGATGGAGAACATCCCAGGCCCTTGTTGTTGTCAGTTGTGTCTCACTCTATGTGACCCTATGGGCAAAGATACTGGTGTGGTTTGCCATTTCCTTCTCCAATGTGTCTCCATTTTACAGATGAACTGAAGCAAATAGGAGTTAAGTAACTTGCCCAGGGTTACACAGTGTCTTGAGGCCAAATTTGAACTCAGGTCTTCCTAACTCCCGCACCCCCTAGATGCCCACATTCTGGGCCCTGTCGGAATGCTAATGAAAACACTTAGGAGTCAGGAGATGTAGAGTCCAGTGAGAGGAATAAGGGCCAGGGTCACTGAATCACTGACACTTTGATACATTAAGTGACTTGCCCAAGGTCACAGAGCTGGCAGAGTTGCCATCTGAACCCAAGTTTTCTAAATACAGTGCTATTTGGCTACTATTCCACATCTTTCAGAGAAAAATCATTAAAATTCATCAGAATTGGTAATTATTGTTCATGGAAATTAAAGGAGGCAGAGTCAAAATCGTTGAGGGGTAGGAAGCAATGGGACTGAGCTCCAGGCCACAAACTACTACAAATGGATCTACAAAATGTATCAGACTAAATCCTGATGGAGAAATCCAGAAAGTCACAGTGAGCCATTTGTGCGGCTCAGGTCCACATAGGGAGACAGACAGTAGTCTTTGGACACTGTGGGAGCAGCCTACAGGTATTCCAGCGATGAGGAAGAGCTATATTCCAGGGCAAGAAGAGGTTCTAACCCATCTCCTGGCTCTACCTGACCCACACTGGGGTACTACAACAGGGACAGGTATGAACTAGCAGCTGTATCACTCACTACCCGGTTCTTGGTCACAGATGGAGGGCTGATGGAGATGAGGCCCACAGCCCTGAGCTGTGTGTAGAGAAAGAAGGAAGTTCAGTAGCCAGTTGTAGTAGCAGTGAGTCTCAGAACCTAAGCCTAGAACAGGGTCTCATTCCCAGATCCTACTTCAGCCTATAGAGGAATAATCAAGGCAGAAATTTAAGACTAAAGGGAGTTTACAATTTTGTCACTCTGAGCCTACAGAGCTTTCCAGCCCCATGATACGGGTGGGGTCCAGCAGAAGTCTATTTTTGCACAGACCCAAACTGGGGTCAAGGATTTGCAGAGCTTGGGCGCACTGAAAGTTTGCAGGTCTGCAGCCTGTCCCTGAGATCTTAGAATAACACACTTGATACCTCAAAAAAGCCTCAAGAAATACCTCTCTTATTTGGATGAAGGCATAAATGGCATGCTTGTCAAATTTGTTTTGATTAACTATGTTTGTAATTTTAAAAAACTGTTTTCCAATTGTGAGGGAGGGAGGGAGGGTTGGAGTAGGAGAGGAAAAAATGGATCTTGGCTGATTAAAACAAATTTTTCTTTGTTTTGTTTTTGGCTAGGCATTGGGGTTAAGTGACTTGCCCAGGGTCACACAGCTAGTAAGTGTTATGTGTCTGAGGCCGCATTTGAACTCAGGTCCTCCTAAATCCAGGGCCAGTGCTCTATTCACTGCGCCATCTAGCTGCCTCAAAACAAAATATTTTTTAAAAAGAAATGAATGAAAGTAGTTTTAAAATTATGCAGAAATTGGCCTGACAAACCTCCTTTAAAGGTTAAGTCTTTTTTTTTTTAAATCCGGTTGTTTTCAACATTTTTTTCAAACCTTGAGCTCCAAATTCTCTCCCATTCCTTCCCCAAGGCAACACATCAACTATAAGTGTGAAATCATGAAACATATTTCCTTATCAGCTACATTAAAAACAAACAAAAAAAAAACCCAAGAAAAATAAAGTGAGAAAACCACACTTCAAGTTTACCAGTTTTCTCTCTAGAGGTGGATAGGATCCCTCAAATCATGAGTCTCCTAGAACAGCGTAGCCAAATCTTTCACAGCTGATCACCACCACAACATTACTGTCACTGTGCACAACAATCTCTTGGTTATTCCTACCTCACTCTGTATCAGCCCATGTAGGTTCTGTCATGCCCCTCTGAAACCACCGTCACTTCCCACAACACAACACCACAAGCACACAACACAACTTGTTCAGCCATTTCCCAATCGATGAGCATTCCCTCAATTTCCAAGTCCTTGCTACCACAAAGACATGCTACAAACATCCTTGTATATATAGGTTCCTCTCCTTTTCCTTTGATCTCTTTGGGATACAGACCCACTAGTGGCATTGCTAGGTCAAAAGGCATGCACTGCTCTATAGCCCCTTGAGCATAGTTCCAAATTTTTCTCCAGAATGGTTGAATCAGCTCACTACTCCACTAACAGTTCATTAGTGTACCTATTTTCCCTCACCCCCTCCAGCATTTGTCATTTCTGATAGGTGTGAGGT